CGGTGGATCATGCGCCTCGAAGTTAAAGACCGACCGATGTTTCAGGCATTGTCCAGACCGATAAGCAGCAGCAAGGTGGTTAATCGCAGTCTGTCGGCTAGCGAAGGTCGATCGGCAGTTCGGGCATTGGTTAGTAATCGAGAATCGTGAGTGTTCGCATATACGACCAAGTTCGCCTCCCTCCCCGCTCATCGTTTGGTGCACTCGAAGGGCATGTTTTGTCTCGGCCGCAAACAGACATACCGCACCATCTTCACAGAGCAAGCCGCACGCGTGGGGGCAGTTCCAACTGACGGTTGCATATGGAGCTCTGCGTGTCGGGGCGGGCTGTTCCAACCACCACTTGCGCAGTCGCGCCACCCCGAGCTTGATAAAAACGTCCCTGCCCGCGGTCGGCCGAAACAAATATCCAGTAAGTCATCGCCTATGACGTCGAGGCAGGCGCGGCCGTCGGCGAAGACCTGCAGCAGTTGCATATCGTCTATAAACTGCTTCCTCCACGGGTTGCCCTTGTGGGTGACGTCGCCAGTGGGTCGGACTGGTGCCCAGGGAAGGTCCAGAGTCTGGTTGATTGCGCACATCAACGGTCCAAAGACACTTGCAAGTAACTGCGCATGGTGCGTCGGTTCTCGAGCAGCGCGTTGCCATCTCTTGATCTGAATAATCTGAATACCTATCGACGGAGGGACCATCTTCAACCTTTTTTCCAAAGTGCGTGCGAAGAAATGTCGCGGGCCACCTCGATCGTTCCAGACGGGTCGGCGCCGTCGACAGACAGCTGCACGCCGTGCCCTGGAAGAGTGCTCGGGCGCATCGGGCGACGCAGGCGTCGATCTGAGCGAGCTGCGCTTTTTTTTTTTTGGGGGGGGGGGGCGCGGGCTTCGAGCCCAGAAACAGCTGCGCAATAAAGAATAAACTTGGCTTATGAAAAGTAGCCTCCGTCGTCCCAGTTGCCTGCAGTTATGCCAGAAACGTCCCATGCTCCTCCATCCGCGAGCAGCAGCTGCACATCGCGTGCGTACCTCGGCGTGATTCAGGCCGTTCGCTTGCATAAGAGAGCCGAGGAAGAGCGTGGATGAGTGTACTTCGCCGTCAACGTGTATTTTACCATAATGTAGTGCACTTGCGTAGCGAGGAGCTCAAGGTCCAATGAATGTCGGGGGTGCAGCGCTCTTGCCCGCGTTCTGCGGTAGTCCGATGGTACTCAGCTTCTCGTTGAGGATCGTGTCGGGGTTGTGCACCTTGTAAGCCGCCATCTGCGTCCGTGCACAGGTGGGCATTGGTGAGGTCGTCGGCGTATTTACGAACGCCGAGGTCACCGTTGGTGCCCGAGAACTCGCAGCCCGCGACCAAGGAGGATGACGTGTCCGTGGCAATCGAGGCGTTCCAAGCGTTGGTAGGCGGCTTGAACGACGCACCGAACTTGATGGCAGCGTCAGCGTCGCCCATGAAGCAGCCCACGTGATTCTGGTAACACTGGGAGTTGATGCCGTCGCTGATTACGCAGGCAGCCCTTCGGCGTCGTCCTTTCATGATCGCGCAGTCGCCAGGGAGGTAGATCTGGTCGACGGCGGCGTCCAAGTTCGGGTGGGCGACGGAGGCGAACGCGTTCGTCATGTCGTGTTTGGTGGTGATGTGGCTCTTGCGGATGTGTTGGTGACGCCATTGGAGTGCCAGCCCAGCAGTGATAGCTTCTGATCTCGATCTGGATTGTCAAGGCCAAGTAAAGCGACCGGCGTGCTGACCACCCCCCCCTTCGCGACAGGAGGTGCGCCGCGCGTTCGTCGCACGTGCGCCGCCCGTGCGTCGGCCGCCGAAAAGGCCAGCCGTCCTCTCGAACGTGCACGTCGCCCTCGCAAGGGGGCAATTTGGTGAGTGCGTCGCCAGCGCGGCGGACGCCCGCGGGGCGGATCGCGCGCGCGTCGCCCTCTCCACGGCCGCTGAAAAAGGCCGGTCGCCATCGGGAAAAAGAAAGTCGCCCACGCTGCGGCCCTCATGAAGTACACGTGCAGGGATGCTGCTGAACGCGCCCCGGCGATAGGCCAGCAGGTCCCCGCAGCCGCCGCAGCCGCCGCGGCCGCCGCAACCGCCGCCAGCGCCAAAACTACCGCCACCACGATCACCACAAACGGACGCGACCGCAATCGTATCCACCGCGACGATTACGACCAACACCATTTACCGCCATCACCACCACCACGACCACCACGCTTCTCGCGACCACCACAACGACCGACGCCAGCACGATCACCGACGTGACCACGACCAGCCCGCCCACCACCAGCGGCGCGACCGCCGCCAGCGCGACCAAGGCGACGAACGCGACTACGACCATGATCACCAACATGACCATTACAGAAGCACCCGCCCACTCCGTCCCCCCCCCCAATCCCCTGCCGGGCCGCCCTTGCCGCCGCGCCCGCCTCGCGCCCCTGCCCCCCCCCCCCCCCTCCTGTTGTCCCCGTAATCTTCCTCTCCCACTGCCAGCGGCGGGGTCGTTCGCGGAAGGCGGGGGCGCCGCTCGCGGCGACGCGCCGCGGCCGTGGAAGGGGGGCCGAAAGAGAACAAGAAAATGAAGAGGGGCGCGGGGTGGCAAGGGGAAAAAACAAAGACGAGAGAGGGGGGGGAGGGGCAGACAGAGGGCGGCCGGTAGAAAGGAGGAGGAGAAAGGGAGGAGAGGGGGAGACGAGGCAGGAGAGAGGACGAAGGAGGAGGAATGAAGCACCGCTCTTCCTGGCGCAATGGAGGACGCAGCCGCCGCCACTCGTGAACAGCGCAAGCACGGCGGGCCGACAACCGTTGTGCATTGCTGCTCGGGAAAATGCTAGGGGCGGACAAAAGCTCGACTGCGTCGCGCATGCGTCGCGCGCGCGTCGCGCGTGCGTCGCGCGGGTCGACCGTGCGTCGCGCGATGGCAGGGGTGCGTCGCGCGCGGGTCGGGGTGCGTCGCGCGCACGCGTCGCGCGCGCGTCGCGCGAGCGTCGCGCGGGCGTCGCTCGGGCCGTTCGCGCGTCGCGCGCAGGTCGCGCGCGAATCGCTCGAAGGGCGCCGTGGACTCCTGACGGCGCGTGAACTGCACGACCCGCCGGCGAAACAATCGAGGGATGCGCGCGGCAATCGTGGGCATAGCGAGACACGCGCGTGAGAACTGCGAACGCGAGGAAACTAATGGGCGACGTGGAGACGCAGCGCGTGCGGATTAGTCCATTTCAAGCGCACGCCCCGTCCGATTTTGAACATCGGTCCGTCGCTGCAGCAATTTGGCGACGTCTCGCCCGCCGATGCATTCGGGGGGAAGAAGGATGGAAGTGAGGCGAGGGAAGGGCGAGCGGAAATGGGAACGGACGGGCGAGGAGGGGGGCGCGCGGGGGCGGGAGCGATGGAAGGCGATCGGAGGGGGGCGGCGGGAGCGAGGAAGGCGAGAAGAAGTTCCAGGAGGGTGGAAGGACAAGGCGGGGCCAGTAGGGAGGCGGACAAGACGGCAGCCTGACGCAAAATAACTGAATACAAATTTCGCAAACGGGACAAAACGCGCAGCGCGTTGGACGAGGGGAGGAGTCAGGAAGAGGGGGGGCAGGAGGATTGGCGCGAAACGACATGGTGGTGCAGGGCGCGATGCGACGGGGCGAAGTGGCGCCGCGTCGCGCGACGCGACGTCACCCCCGCCGCGGCGCGACGCGCACAGCCCCCAATCAACGCGAGGCGTCTTCGTCCTCAGCAACGGTTGGCGCCCCCGAAAATGAGCGCCAGCAAATCCTCTTGCGCCGAATGGGGAACAGAGAGCGTTGGTGGACCGTCGAACTAGAGTGCGCCGCGACCGCCAAAATGGCTGCTGGTGCACCGGCGTCGGAAACCTATATATCCACAGAAATTCCGAAGTCGCGCCACACGTCGCCCACGCACTCTGGGAGGCCGGGATTCGGGGCAGAGACGCAAACCAGGGCCGGCGCACGGGCGACGCTCGGGCGACGCACTGAACGAAACTTCAAGGGGGGGGGGTCGCTTCACTGGGCCTTAACAATCTGGATCGCGCGTGCCCGTGCTCAGTATCATCCAGAAGCGTGGTAGTCAGAATCTGCCGCGATGAAACCCAAGATTTGCCCAAGGGGCGTAGTCCGTGTAATAGCCGTGTGCCTCGGGTTCGCGGTCTGTTATTCGTCTTGCTCATCTGGCATGTCTGGGAGAGGTTCCACCATGCATTCAATCTTTGGTGTTGCCGTACTGCTGCAAGTTGTGTGAGTATAGCGTCGCCAAGGAGGGGTCCAGGGAATCGCGTCGAGGGGGCGTGCTCGGGCCAACCGTTCTTCTTCTGGTCTTCGCTGCGGTCCACAAGGAGGAGTGCCCGCGCATCAGCTGGAAGTGGCCATTCAGGTGCAGCTCGTCGTCGTTTGCAATGCTCTCGTAGCCGCCTCTGCATCGATGCCATGTCATATTGAGCGTGTAGCCATTGATGAGCCGAAGGGCAAAAACGTTCGCCATGTTCAGCTACGTTGCCGATGAAATGGTCGATGTCGATAGGTGTGGCTTCCATGCCACCTTCAGCGCCAGGTAGTGCCATATCTTCTGTCCATGTTTGGATCGAGGGTCGGGCGTCGGGCAGGTCGAAATAACAGCGCCTTCCAGGCCCCTTGCCGTTCCCAGCGAGGCGACGGCAAGCGCGCCAGGCCTCCGCTTCAAGACCAGCTTCTTCGGCCCGTCGCAGTCCATGAAAGTGTTGTTCGTCCCGGTGGTCGCGCAATCGTCGTCGTAGTAGTTTGCACTCAGAACTGCAGCGGCGAAGTACAATCGTGCTCTCAAGGTCGTCGGTCGAGTTATGCCTCGCACGTGTTCGTGCGTGTAGGGCGTGTCTACGTTGCAAGGCAAGTTGCTGATATGCAAGATCAATCGTAGATTTTTCGGTCTCGGGAACTTCGAGCGCCCTCGATCGGATAACTGCCATGAGCTGTTGCCATCCGTCTTCCATCGTTTGCATTTCTGCCCATTCCACTATATCTCTGCGCCCGTACTCGCGCAGGAGGTTCGTCAAGTCTCTCTCGATGTCGTCGCGGAGCTGCTTCGCCCACAAGTGGTACCTTTCGTCGTGCGAAGCAAGGAAGATCCGAGTGAAGTCCCACTGTGGTAGCATCTTGGGCTTGTCGTGCGTGAGGGCACAGTCCACGTCGATATACAACATCATGTGATCAAGTAGCCGTTGCGAAGGAAATGCCCGTAGTCGCTTAGTGAGGCGGTAGGCGATGTTGCGCCTACGTACACGAGGAAGGTAACGGATCGGCATCACGATGTAGCCGATATAACTGTTATGTCCTCTGAGTCCGTGGTACGTCGGGCCGCACTGGTAGTGTGTGTTGGTCGCGCATAGGGCGTAGTCCTTCAGGAGCGCATGGAAGCGTCGCCAGCATACTGCTGTTGGCCGCGGGCGAATTCACCAATCGTAGCATCTCTGTCCCCCGTGGAGATGTCGCGCTTGAGGCCGTCGTTCAGGGCCGTGCCGACGAAAACGCAGGTGCGGTTCGGCAGGCTGGCGAGGATGTCGTGCAGGCGGGCAATAATCTGGTCCACGATCGCATCATTATTGGAAGCCGTGGTATGGCGTAGAGCGCGAGTTGGAAAGTACGCCGTGATGAAAGTGTAGTCGAACCGGGAGCGTCTGACTCGCACCGCACCCACTCTGCCGCGTCGCCGTAGGCGTCTGCCAGACCTTCACAATATGGGATTTCCAAAACCATCGTCTGCCAAGCCAAATCTCGGTACCACAGGATTTGTTGCCAGTCGTATTCTTGTTGTTACGGTGCCAGCCGAACTTCAGCAAGAGGAACTCAGTGGTTGAGCGTGTGTCGTTGGCGTCGATAGTCTTGGTCTGGGTGCCAGAGAGCAAAACCACATCCACATGTTGTAATTCTCGTGAAATCTCGAGGCGCTTGTCATAATCTTGCTGAAACATCGGGCTCCATGATATAAGCCGCATGTGAGCCGTCAGCGTGTGACATAATAGCCCGAATTGCAGGACGTTGGGCATAGCGCCCCCGCTCTGGAGACCACAGGAAGTCGAGCCACAGTTTATATATATATATATATATATATATATATATATCCCCAGGACGAAAATTGTTTTTCTCTTGGGCCCGGAACGACGGTGTGAAGTCTTGAGCAGACCCGTATGAGAGAACCAACGTCGGATTTCATGAAGCTCGCGCGGATCCAAATGTGGTTTCGGTGTTTGTTTCGGTGGATCCGATTTCCGTCCGTACGGATCTGATTTCGGATTAGCTGGATCCGTGTCCAGTCTTAGATTTCCGTCAGTCTTATTTTTACAGCGGATCCAATTTCTACCCTGTATTAAATTTATACGATTAAATTAAACCAGGGAGCCGGAAGAAACCGGATCCGCGGACCCCGCAAACAGCCCGTGTTAAGATTTTATCGGGGCGGGGGATTCGGTAATCGCCTTTCCACGATGGGCCCTGCGTCGTCTCGCGGGCTCCCATCAACTCCTCCCCCGGTTGCTGCAAACAGGTCGTCCGGTCGCTGTCTGTTCGGCGGCGCCGACGTTGTCTCGCGAACTCCTCATGGCCATTTTCACCTCAAGAGGAAAATCTTTCGTCCTGCGTAAGTGCGTTTCGGCCCTGCGTCTCCTCACCCAACGGACTGCCTGTGAGAAGTAGTGTCGGCTGTTTGGTAACCAACAACGGATTGCGCGTGAGATGTGGTGTGTCGGCTATGTGGTAACCAACGAGTCCGCAGGCCAAGACACTAGTGCATTTCGGCCCTGCGTCCCCTCACCCAACGGACTGCCTGTGACATGTGGTGTCGGCTGTGTGGTAACCAACAACGGATTGCGTGTGAGATGTGGTGTGTCGGATATGTGGTAACCAACGACTCCGAAGGCCAAAACGCTCATCCCCAGGACGAAAGTTTTTTCCTCTTGGGCCCGGAACGACGGTGTGAAGTTTTGAGCAGACCCGTATGAGAGAACCAACGTCGGATCTCATGAAGCTCGCGCGGCGCGGATCCAAATGTGGTTTCGGTGTTTGTTTCGGTGGATCCGATTTCCGTCCGTACGGATCTGATTTCGGATTAGCTGGATCCGTGTCCAGTCTGGGATTTCCGTCGGTACGGATCTGATTTCGGATTAGCTGGATCCGTGTCCAGTCTTATTTTTTACGGCGGATCCGATTTCTACCCTGTATTAAATTTATACGATTAAATTAAACCAGGGAACCGGAAGAAATCGGATCCGCGGACCCCGCAAACAGCCCGTGTTAAGATTCTATGGGGGAGGGGGATTCGGTAATCGCCTTTCCACGATGGGCCCTGCGTCGTCTCGCGGGCTCCCAACAACTCCCCGCGCGAGCGGGCCCCATTCAACATGAATACATACATCCCTCCTCCCCCGGTTGCTGCAAACAGCTCGTCCAGTCGCCGTCCGTTCGGCGGCGCCGACGTTGTCTCGCGAACTCCTCATGGCCATTGTCACCTCAAGAGGAAAATCTTTCGTCCTGCGTAAGTATATATATATATATATACATTGTACCGCGTTGTTCGCACCACACACATAGCACAGCATGTACTGCACACTCACGTACACTCTCGCTTCTCAAAGGAGGCTAAGAATCAACCACCTTCCCCAGGCCGGACTTAACCGCACCTCCCGGGGACTTCAAATTTGCATACGATTCTGTCCCATCGTTAATTCAAAACGAGAATTCGCACGATCCCAGCCAAGCCGGTACAGACCCCCCCCCTCATCTTTTGCAGAGACTATCTTGCTAGAGAGCTTTCTCTTCCAACCCCCTTTTTTCCCTTCGGGGAGGGGTCCATCACTGTTCCCTATTAACATGCACCCCCTCCCCGGGCGACCGGCGGCCAACCAGCAGCCAGGCGGGCCCCCCCGCCATCCCTGTCAAAAAAACAATGCGAACACACACTCTGCCTTTTAATTCGAAGCATGCGCAGCCAACCCGATGCGCCCCCCCCCCCCCCCGCCCAGCATCCATGGTCAAAAACTATACAAAGTACACTCCGGGGCAAAGTCCAGAGGCATGTTCGTGAGGCCCGCGAGCACGTTGCACTGTTTTTGTGCAGGGACGGCGGGGCTGTCAGCATATTGCCTGCTGCGCTCCTCTGGCCATCGCTCGGACGTCCATTCCCTGTGTTTTTGTTCTGTTTCGTGCGTGGTTTTTTCGCCAAATGGTCAAGGATGCCCCTCGATGGTCCTCGCCGAAGGAAACATGCACACGTCCGAGCGATGCCAAGTCCTTGACAAGACACAATAATGCAGCTCGCGGCTAAAACTGGATCATGCGCGGCCATCCGGCGATCGTTGTCAGGTGGTTGTTGACAAGTGGCGTATGGCCTGCTGTGCGCAGGGCCCACCAGACACAATGATGGGCATGGGTCTTCGACACGGACTGTGGGGGCCGACATGTCTCCCGATGCGTGCTGCCACGTGCGCATGCGCACCTGACGCACTCTGCACGTGCCCCGAACGTGGCGCACCTGGCGCAGCTGGAGTCTGCGGCGCACCTGGCGCACGCGGCGGCGCGTGGCGCATCTGGCGCACCAGGCGTGCCTGGCACGCTCGGGCCCCAGGGGTGCCTGGCGCGCCCGGCACGCGTGGCGCACCTCGCTCCAGCGTTGCGCACATGGGCTCGGTTTCGGTTCCCAACAGTTGTCCATCCACAGACGATCGCTGAACATGCTGCGGCTCGGGTGTTACCTCTGTGTTGGGAGTGCGGGTGGGAGTGAGCTAGACGGCTTGCTGTCTGGAGGGTGTCTTGACCACTCCCCCATACCCCCGCCCCTCGACCTGGAGGGGGGCGGGCGCCCCGCTGCAAGAGCGCCTCAGAGAGCCCAAGATGACCTCCAAGATGCCTCAATGCTCGAAAATGGCCAAGAAAATATAACATCGTCAGTCCGCCGACCCCTTTGGGGTCACGGCGTGTGAGATGCTTCTCCCTCCCCAAACCCCTCCCCCGGGGGCCTGGCCCGGCCGGTTTGGAGGGGGGAATGGGGGGTGGGGGGCAAATCCGTCATCCGCACACTTGGAGCTTCAGGCCCCAAAACGGGCCAAAAAGGTTCCAAAGGTTCCCGGAATGGTCCAAGAGAGCTATGAATCGACAAAAGATCGCCCCAAAACGCCGAAGATTGCCTCTGCACGGCTCCATATGCCCCCAAGACGTTTGAACCGATTTTACGAGGCGCCCCAAAGAGGCACTCCAGAAGCAAAAACCATCCCATTTCCTAGGTAAAACGTGCATTTTCAACACATTCGCCCATTCGGCTTCCACGCGGCGCAAAACGGCCCAAGAAGCCTCCAAGATCGGCCCTCGCTAGCCCAAGAGGCTTCCAAAAAGGCTTCAAGACGGCGTCCGGGCAATCCACGAAGGCCCCAGGAAAGCCGCAGAACGGTCCCAAGAGGGCTCCACAACGGGGCATGAGGGCCCCCAAAGTCTGTCCGGATGGCCCACGCGTGGGACGATTCGGTCCAAACCGCCCAAGATCGCCGCCAGACGGCCCCATGGGTGTCCAAGACGTTTGAAAATGCGACCACGAGGCGCTCCAAGAAGGCCTCCAAAAGCAAAATCCGCCCCATTCCATAGGTAAATCGCACATGTTCAGCACATTCGCTTCTTGGGCTTTCACGAGGCCCACAACGGCCCAACAAATCTCCAAGATCGACCCTTGTCACCCGAAGCGGCTCCCAAGAAGGCTCCAAGACGGCTTCTGGGCGAGCCACGAAGGCTCTAGAAACGATAGCAACGGCTCAGAAAAGCCGCAGGACGGTCCCAAGAAGGACTGCACCGGCCTTGCAGATGTGCTGCAGCGGATGTGTGCGTGGATGTCTGCCCGAAGCGGCGAGCGAAAAACGAGGTGCAGTCCGCGGGGGTTCTTTTTGGTCTTCACACTCCTGCCCCCCCAAAAAATCCGCGCGAGATTCACCTCGAAACTCTCCAGGACACCCCGGGCCCACCCCATCGTGTTCCAAGCGAAGTCCGCTCTGCGATGCTGGTGCCACGATTTTTCCCAACCTTCCTGCGTTGGGTACTCGTTTTGAATAGAGCACTGCGGTCGCGTCTCCCCTCCTCCTCCTCCTCCTCCTCCTCCTCCTCCTCCTCCTCCTCCTTCTCCTTCCCGTCCCCCTCCTCTCCTCCATTCTCCCGATCTGTGAAACTGTTGCCACTTTCGAGGGCTGCTGGGGGGCCCAGCACAGTGACGTCTTACGGGGACTCAGATTAGACATCGCCATCGCTGGGGGGCTGCGATCCGTGAAACTGTCGCCACTTTCGAGGGTTGCTGGGGGGGGCAGCGGAGTGACGTCTTATGGGAACTCAGATTAGACCTCGCCATCCCTGGGGGGCTGCGATCTGT